TAAACACAGAAATAGTGAACAGAATGTCATCAGATTTAGCATCATGTGTTTTTCATCCCAGAATGATGATGACAAGAGACAACACACTGACAGAGCAGAACTAGATAGATGACAGACAATATCTGGCACTGTTTTATACTTATGTCTAAAATATTTAATATCCCCTTGATTCACCAAATAAGTACCAGTGTACACAATTTTAAGATTGGACCACAATTCTTTCTAGTACCCTATTTCCCCTTACTTTTGTCCTTGGGTTTTTAAGTATATGTGGATTTTACCTCTGCTTCCTCTTTATTATTCTACCAGTTGAAAGAGAAATATTGTCTGAGGATCAGTTTTGGATGAACAGGTAATCAAAGCTACCAAATGTCAACAGCACAAGACATTCCAGGAGTCACAAGTGCTCCTGCTAATGGTGGTTCAGGGAGCCGGCAGGTTCAGAGATTTCTGGGTAGCTGGAGTAGGTTGTGGGTCAGAAGGAAAAGGACCTACAGTGAGACAGCATAGAAAAGGCCTGGAATCAGATTGACCCCTTCTCCAGGGAGCTAGTCAGATAGTAAAAAGAAAGTGAAGCATGTAAAACCCTTCAGAATTAAATACTTTTAGTCAAAAAGGTGTTTAGAGGAGAGTAGAAATGATTACTAAATTGAATTGAATGAAAGCCAAACCAAACATTCATTATAGATTTATACATATAAGGCTGTGGTACATAAAATTTTCTGAGTCTTGAAACACTCATGAAAGGGATAGCATCCTGATTGGGAGTGGGTCCTAGATGGTTATGAAGGTAAGAAGATAGAGGATCAAATGGCAGATGAATCATGGTTATTTTGCATTGATTTGCTGCAGTTTTCCTCAATGTCTTAGTATATTAAGGTTCAAATCACAATCAGTTATTATCCCTGAGTTCAATCTCACTCTAGTCTTTTGCTAAATATAATTAAACAGCACAATTAACCATCTTGGGGGTAATGGTCACAGTTACTACCCTTTAATGGCCTATCACTACCCTTTAATCCCTGCCTTTTTTAAGCCTAGTTGGAGGCCTTTAAACTAAAGCACTGTTCTGAAAAAGATGAGTCCACTCAGTTTAAGCCAGATTCTCATCCTTGACAATGATGCCTATTGTTGACTGAGGACTATTATGATCCATGAACTACATTAGATACTCTCTACATCATTCCCCTTTCTTCATAATAATCCAAGAGGATGAGCATTAATTTTTCCATTTTTCCATTGAATGGTTTGATATTATGTAGAGCTATAGTTCAATAAAAGGCATGATGTAGTTCAGAATGGGAAGAACAGCTTGGGGAAAATGAGGACTTTTCAGGTCATGTTGGCCATGTTTAACTAATAACCACTTACTAACTCACTGAATGATGCAACATTTATTCAAAGCCCACAGCCTAAAGACTAAGAAGTTTTTGAAAAAGTGTAAATAGCTCAAGGGAAATTAAGAAATACTTGTATAAAGGATGAGAAAACAATCAGGTTAAAGAAAAACGCTGGAAAAGAACCTCACAAAACTGTGACTTTCATTTTGGATTGTTTGGCACAAAGTTCCTAATAAGGAACCCAATAAATGTTAATTATTGGATAAATGAATGAAATCAACAAACTACTCAAATGCTAGATAGTGTGGTACTAAGAATTCGAACAGTCTAGGGAAGATGATGCATGTAGACTCGGGTAGTAGCAAGACTCTGAATGAGGTGAGATCTAAGCACTCCTACGAGGAGTGGAAAGGACTGTATGATTATCAGGCAGAATTGAAGCTGCACAGAGTGGAAGGAGGACCACAGCCAGGCACATAGCCTCCTTCTCAGCCTCCTTTTGCAAATGCCCCTTCCTTCTTTTTGCTGCTGTTGCTTCCCAGCATTTGCCCTGAGTTCATCTGCTCTCATCTTGTTCACCCTCCTCTTGAGCCCTGTCCAACTAGATCTCATAATGTCTTGAAGCTTTCATTGACCTCGGAAAGGCAGTTTTGGAATAACTAGGAATGCCTCTGTCCTTTAGCGTGAAAAAAAGTGTCCTATGATGATTCTAGGCTTTTGGAAGTAATGTAATAAGTTATTCTGAATGGGGGAAAAATCATGCACACAACTGGAAAGAGGGCAGCCCATGGAAATTCTGGCCCTTGGGAGGCCCTTTCAGGACCTCCAGAACAAAATTTCTAGCAGGTCCTCACTACAATCTTTTGATTCTCCTTGTACCTCTGCCCCAAAGTCAGGGCCAATATGGACACAACCTACTCATACTTCGGTGACAAGAACTTAGCCTAAAACCTGAGATTTCTCTGTCCACTGAGGTTTTGCTGCTAAGGCGTAGGAAGGTGTCTTTTAACTCAAGTTACCTGAATTATTTTTAGTGTGGCTTCCGTTAGAGATTCCTAGTCAGTCACTTTTTTCTTTTTTTGATAGGTGAAGAGTTGCCCTAAATGGAAATCATATGGTTTAGGTTTCCAGAAAAATCTGTGCCTCTAGAGGGAAAACATTGTTGGTTCTGGTAACCTTCTTATGATGATCGCTTTTATTCTTAGAAACCGGCTAGCAATACCATCCCTTTGTGTTTTAGAGTCTCGTCCACTTGGATTCTGCCATGACAGGGACACTCAGACACACTAGGAGCTGTGTGCAGCAGTGATCTGCTTTTCCAGAGCACAGCTCACTTTTGCAGTGAGAACGGTTTTGCCTTTGCTGGGGCTGAGAGAGTGCTTCTGTTCAGGTGTTGCTGCTCTCCAGAGCCAGCAGCACCATCCTTGATAGAAAAGACAAGCTGCTGCCCTGTTATCTCATGAAAAAAGATAACTGCAAGCTATGTCCATATACAGAGCCTCGTCTTTCCAATATAGGATTCCAACCTGTCAAGAGCAAGCAAGCACACAAGAGAGCTGGAGAAAGAAGGAACAAGACAAGGACAGAGTGTGAAGTTTCAACTGACGTGACAAGGAATCAGAAGGGGGCCACATCCTGCAGTGGGAAACCCTGTCTTGAGGTTCTGGGACCAGTTTCCAATAAAAGACTCTCTGATGAAGGCTGAAAGATCCCTCCTCCCTCCAGTTATAAAAAGCCTGGGTTGGGCCAGGGATTTAGCTCAGTGGTTCTGCCGCCTGCCTCGCGAGCGCAAGGACCCAAGTTCCATCCCTGGCACCAAAAAACAAAACAAAGCAAAAGCCCGGGTCCTATGAAGCTAATGTTTTGAAGGTCAAATTTCTGACTTTTTTGTGCAATATTAAAAAATAATAAACTAACACTGTCATTGGAACAGAAATTAAAAAATGCAGGGGAAGGCTATATTTTTGTGAAGGAAATATTTTTCATTAACAAGATCAATACATGTGCTTGTGTTGATTCTACAACTGAATAATTTCAGTTCCTGTCTGGGGTAGTCTTTCTTGGTTAAAGGGTGGGGGGAGTCCTAAGTGCAGCCAAGTTTCCCAAAGTTAAGAGATCGCCCACATGAACGCTGTCGCATGTGCCAGCCCTCTACCAAAGAAGGAGCAGGATCAGGACCTGGCAGCATGCACCGAGTGGCACTGCTCCCAGAACTCTCATCCAATAAAGAGCTATTGTGGGAGCTGGACCCTTCAACTTACAGGACAAATGGCTCAAATGAAAAGCACAATGCATGTGAGTGGGACCCAAAACTTGAATGAGTGGTAATCACTTCCTTCGTGCAGATCACATTATTTTCCATGGAACTTCACTCTGTAATTCAGTCCTTGCCTAGTGCAATAGTACTGATTTTCATTTTTCGGCTAAGTGAGAATGATTAGAGTGATAGCCATCGAGCAGTATGGGTTACTAACCCTGCTGTGGAAGAGAAATGGAAAATTATTCAGGAAAATGGGAAGAAACTGGCATTCATCGGGAGCAGACCAAAATATTTCTAAAGAGAAGGAAGTTTTGATTCTTCATGGATGTGACCAAACAAGCTGTAGTTCTGCAACTGAGAAATTTGAGACTAGAGATAATGATGTAAGAGCTACAGCAGGTCCAAAGCTTCAAAGAGCTGGAATTTCCATGGAGAATATTTGAGGCACAGAGTGGGGATGTGGGTAGAAGTCCCAGCTAAAGGCATCTGCCACACAGCTGACACCCACTGGGGAGCTTCAGGTCTCTCAGGCTGCAGATCTAGCTCTTGGATCCACATGCGGAGGGGGCAGGGAGGAGTGAGGATGGACTCAGGCTGAGCCATGGTTTCCATCTGGGTGACCTGCAGTGACTCTACACAGCAGCCAACCTCACTACAGAAAAAAGCAGAGAAGCAAAACAAAACAGATGCTGCTCTTAACTACGCTTTCTCAAATGAATAAATAGGCGGGAGCAGTAGGATTACTGTCCAAAGACCAAGTGAAAAAATACTCCTTCTGATCCACTGATTTACCACATTGCATGTTCCTCAGTTTGGGGACAAGTTTTTTGTTTTTTGGTTTTTTTTAAACTTTAAGCCAACTATGTGTTTAGCTCATCAACTTTAACCAGAAATATAGGCTGTCTCAAATAACTATTATCTGAAGCTTAAACTTGGTCATGATTATTTTTTTTAGAGGGGCTAGAGGTTGAGTCCAGAGCCTTGCACATGCTAAACACAAGCTCTACCATTGAGCCATGTCCTCAGTCCCCAGGTCACAATTTCATTATAGGGTCACTTCGTCTACCTATATTCTGAAATATATAACAGAAATATGTCAGGTGAAATAAGTCTACATACAAGAACCATTTTAATTTTTTAAAAATCCCACGTCTATGAAAGGATGCAAATATTCCATGAAAAAATGCTTAGATTCAATGTCTAATGTCATTATTCATTCATCACATTTGACAAACATGATTCTAAGCAATCTACAATGATGGCAGGTTATTTTAAGTGTGTAATTTCTTTTAATTTATGACATGATACCTTGGCAGCGGGGAGACTATATCTGGTTGAAAAATGCAAATAGATATTCTTCCAGAAATGCAGTATTAAGTTCTCTCATGTTACCAACTCACCAGAATTAAGTAAAATGATAGATTTGAGGCACACAAACTCCTCTCCCTGCAGATTCATCATACGGAACTGAGTTGATGTCGCCAGCAACATGTCAAAGATCTCCACCATACCCTCTACACATCTACCTTGATTCCTAGGAAAACAAAGTTTAAAAAGCATTAAAAGACAGAAAAGTTTCTATAAAGCATAAGGAATATATTCATAAAAATCTACCAGCTCCAAATCGGCATGTAACAAAAGACTCCAGCCCATTCTCTTCATAAGTGCATGAACTTCCATTTGAATCTGAGATGGCAGGACAGAAAAAGGCTTTACAGCAATAAAACATTCTCATTTCAAATTCTTAGATGAGATGTAGTGTTCAGTCACCAAATCTACTATGTTAAATATGGAGTTCTTTAGTCTATAAGTAATGCAAAATGAATTAAGAGTCAGGTAATGGTTTTTCTAGCGCATGTTCATTGATCTCTGTATTCCAAACATTGTAGTGTTGTGGGGATTAAGAGGGGGAGGCTTTGCTTTCAAATGCTCATGACATTCAACTAATATACCAAGCCCTAAAACATGTTTTGAAGTTCTTTTGACATACAGGAAAAATTAGTATACAGTGGTACCTCAGTGTTCATCATTCATTGGTTCCAGGAAGTACAATAAGTACCAAAAACAATGAATACCAAACAAATTGTTTTGGCTGTAAAGGGCAGCAAGTCATGAGCAATTGACATCATCATGTACCAAATGAATGATGGGTACTAGGACAAAATTTTCACACCAAACTGTATCAAGCAGTAAATTTGGTGAGTTTCAAAGCAATGGAATACTGAGGTAGGAGTGTATCTATGGACTATAGCTGGGCTGATTCATGGGTGTTACAGAGAATGGTAGTAAGGGGTAACCAACTCAGTGGCTTTGGAGTTGACCCACATTGTTAGAAGAAATTCAGGCTTCTTTCCTATACAACAAAGCTTTCATATGAAGGGCTTAAATTTAGTACTTGCAATTATTAAATAGAAGAACTCAAAGGGTTATAACATGTAGTATTTAAAAATGTACATGTTTGTATCTTATCCATGGGTTGTTTCAGAAATTAAAGGAGATACTACATATGAAAGGAATGCATTCATTGTGGTGAATGATGTTTTGAAGAATTTAAAACCCAGGAAGATATTAAAATATTCTATGCATATGTAAACATATTTAAAATATGTAAACATTTAAAACATGAGCACAAGCACATTATTTAGTACTTGGTTTTATCTTTAATTAATAGATCTTAGTGTTCTTCATTAACTGTTTTTAACAACTGCATAATTTTTCACTAAACAAAATGGTATATAGTCATTTGTCACTTACTAATGGGGACACATTCTGAGAAATATGTCATTAGGCAATTCTGTCACTCTGTGAACATCAGAAAATTTACTTAGACCAAGAAGGCCACAATGTCACTGTGCAATATAATATTATGGGACAGCATTATACGTGTGGCCCATCATTGATCAAAATGTTGTCATATGGTGTGTGGTTATCATTTATTTAGTTACTTCTTTCTTGGTTGATATTTAGTTGGACAGTGAGTATTGTGCTGTTAAAACATTTCATTCAATGACCACCCTTATGCTTATGTCTTTGAACATGTAGAGATAACTGCAGAATAAATTTCTAGAAATAGAACTGCTATATAAGAAGATATACATATTTTTAATTTTGATGGTTGAAATATTGCTTTCAAAAAGCTGGTACTGTTAGTAGAACTTCTGTTGTTGTTCCTGAGAAATTGAACCCAGAGTCTCACACATGCTAAGCACACACTGTACCACTGAGCTACACCTCCAGTGTCTGGAGAACATATTGGCATGAGATCTCTCTCAGAAAGGCCTGTTCTTGTACCTTGCCCACATTTTTCTGTTGAGTTATTGGTCACATTCATATTGATTCTTAAGATTTCTTTATATAAGATAGTAATTAGTTCTGTGTTATATGTGTTCTCATGGTTTGTAGTATGTTTCTTTGATTTTGTTTCTCGTATCTTCTTTTACAAAATATTTAATTATTACAGGATCAAGTTCATCAATGTTTTTATTTATGGCTCTAGAACAGTATGTCTTGCTTGAAAAGGTCTCTTCCCATTCCAATAGCATACAAAATTACCTCACATTTCCTTTTAGTAAGGTTCCATGCTCTTACGTTTAAATCTTTGATGTTCTGAAATGTATTCATTTTTTGAATTAATACATTTACTTAGATATAACCACAAACTACACAACTCACCAATTTAAAGAGTATAGTTCAATATATGAATATTCAGAATTGTTTTTTCAGCTAGAAAAGCTTTACTAACATTCTTTTTATAATTGTTTTTAATTATTCATTAAATTTATTGGTAGATTTTAGGTATACAGTATGATGACATTCATCATTAGAAATTTGTACCTGTACATGATATATCCTAGTTCTTACTTTTTACCCCATTCCCCTGCTCTCCCTTCAACCCCTCCATGCCTCCCTATTTACAAAGACTTTGTTTCCATTTTTTCCTTTTGTCATATTTATTCCTTTCTCTTCTTTCCTTTCCCCTACCCCTCCCACTTCCCCTTTCCCTTTTGACCTTTCCTTCCTATTTCAAATTATCTATTATACATTTTGATCCTTTTTTACGCTTTCAGTTTCTCACACCAGAGAAACTATTCAGTTTTTACACATGTGTGTGCTATTTATTTCTCTTAAGAGTATGGCCTCAGTGTGGCTAAATGGATGCCCATTAAGGCCATACTCTTAAGTAAAATGAAGAGGACTCAGAATTTATTTTGGCATAAGAAATCAGACAATAATTCAGCTTAATATTCTTTTGATGTAAAAAGTTAGTTTTAAGACTATTTATGGAACAAACCACCTTTTTCTCACTGATTTAAAAGATATGAATTACCTTTCATATATTCATTTACTCCCTACAACTAACTTCTAAGGTTAATGCTTTTTTTTTCTATTTTCCAAATGAGGGAATTAGCATTCAAAACTATTAGGTCAAACCACATTGCCTATCAGCCAAAAAAACTAATAATAATTTCAATAATAAAGATTTTTTTCTATTTTACTTTCTTGTCCACTACCATTGATTCAATAAGATTTATTGAGGGTCTATCAGATATCAGTCCTTGGGCTAGTCATCAGGGTACTGAGAAGAAATCCATAGGCATTGTTAATGAGGAGACAAAAATGGGAACAAGACTCACCAGGAGAAAGACAGGTGCAAGACAATGCATACACTCCCTGGAAAATGCATAGAAAGGCCCTCCACAGCTGAGGTCAGACTCCTCCCCTTCAAGCTAGATCAATATTCAGGCAGGTGCCAGGACATGTTCAGATGAAGTTTAGTGCATCTGTATGTAAAACGCTTAGAATGGTGCATAGCACACAGTAGGGCTGATATTTAAGTATTAGCTGTAGATATACTGATATGTAGACACTTATCTGTCAGAGGAGAGCTTGGCTTCTAAACCTGAAGTATATTGGAAATAAGTGTGGCGTGCACTTCACTTTGTGGATCTGGATGTGGGGGAATGCTATAGCAGCAGAGATGAGACTTTATAAACACAGGGATGAGGCAGTGATCAAGCCAAGGGCCAGAAGTAAGCAGGCAATACTAGCAATGGGTTTTCCTTGTCAAGTACTTGAATTTGTTAAAAGCAGTACGTTTCTTTCTAGTGAAAAAAAATAAACAAGGATAGGCGAAAATGTTTGGAGGATGAAGCTTTAAAAGTAACAACTCATAGCCAAAATAGAGAAATGTTCCTTTCTCAATGTAAAGTCTCTGTTTACTTAACAGCCTGCACACCGGCAGGGGAGGAAGGCTGGGGGTGGGAGGAAGCCTGAGCCCACCTGCTGGGAGCAAAAGTTCAGCGCAAAACTGAGAAAGTCAAGTTTTCATTCTCCTTTCCTCACGTCCCTTGTCAACAATCTTCCACATTTCCCCACAAGAAGCTCGTTTTTAACTCCTCCAGCAAGGGTAGATTTTTCTTAGCCCCTTCTTGCTAGTTATCCTGTTATTCCCAGCCAGCAATTACTCTCTTTGGATGTGCTATGCTTGCTCGGATACTAAACTGTGCCCTCTGAGACGTGCATACCCCAAATTCTCAACTCACTCCTCACTCTGGTCCTGTGCGTGCGTGTGTGTGTGTGTGTGTGTGTGTGCTCGCGCGCGCATGCGTTTCCTTTAGGAGATATAAAGAGGGCATAGGTTGACTATTAAAAATGGAGACCTGACAAGAGGACCCCAAAGCCCACCTTCTACATGAACATGTTTCACAGGCTGGTGGTGTGAGTCACACGTGGAGAGCTGGGGAAGCAAGTATTCAATGCAATGAAGCTGCCATTTTCTAAACAATGGTATTAAGAGCTACAGAGGTTCTTCATGTCGTCATAAGAATCAACTCACTATTCTCTTCAATGAGAAAAACCAGTTGGTCTAAGCACATCAGCCAATCTGTTCCTTGTGTAATAACTAAAAATTTTGTTCCTTGATGAACCTAATGATATTTTCAGTAAATCTCAGAATGTTCCCTGTGTCCAAACAACTGGATGGTTATATGGCACCTGTGGGTCTTCCATTAGCATTATTACCTTGGGAGATTGCTGTGTGATCTAGTGAACAAAGTGACATGTCAAGCTATGATCTAGTGCAAATACATGTGGACTTTGAAGACAGACACTTATCATTTGCCTGAGGTCTACACACTATAATCAGGGCTCCCTCTTCAAAATCCTGTCCAAATTTTCTACACTAGCTTCAAAGAGCAAATCAGATTAGGGCATTTAACTCAGTTTCTGAGGAAACGATACATCTACCATATCAGAACCGGGGAGATTACTAAGAATCTGAAGGTAACATTTCTGTAAGACAAGATCAGTCTAAATCCAAGAGGAGCTTCTGAAGCTGAAAAGCACACGGGGTATGGAAAAACAAGATGTATTTTCAAAAGAAGCACAGCTTCAGTGACAGATCAGAAGTAGTTTACCAAGCAGACCAGCCTGTGACTCCCGCTGTGAGACGTGACAGCCTGCAATGAGGAACTCCTCTAACGATTGTATCAGTCTGCTTTTCAGAGCACCTTGAAATCCCCTTGCGGGGGACGT